GTCAGGCAGCACACTGAGGCGCCTCCCCTTTGCCGCACACCCTGCCCGGCCTGCCCTGCCGCCCCCAAACTCACCATGAAGAGGACGGGCATTGTCCAGCCGCTGGTCCTCGCCCCGGGTGACGTAGATGGGCACCGGGAGCTCCCGCTGGGCCATGGGGGGGTGGAACTGTGGGTGGAGGGTGGGTCAGGCCTAGCCCAACTCAGGACACCCCTGACCCTTGCCTCCTCCGGGACACTCCTCCCAGAATGGGTGCCATTGTTCAGTGCCCACATCTCCCACCAGACAGCAAGCCTGGGGCAGAGTCTGTGGGCACGGTGTTCCTGCTACATAGAGCAGGCCTCGTGACAAAGGGATGTGGAGCATGAGCCTCTGAAGGGCTGGGACAAGCTGAGAGGAAGGGAGTTTGGGGCATCTGAGGGCTGCAGAAGGCGTCCAGTGGCAGGCGAAGCTGCGGATGGCTGCTCACCTGCTGGGCCTGGCAGTAGACGAGGCCCGCATCCCCAGTAGTCTCTTCCAGGGAAGCTGGCAGCCTCTGTAGTTCTCCGGGCAGCTCCAGCCAGCAATAGTAGGAGGCAGGCAGGCCCTGGGGGTAGACACTGTCAGGACCCTGGACATGATCAGCCACCTCCCACTCTGTCCCCATTCCCAGCCCACCGGGCCGCTTACTTGGAAATGCTGAAGGTTCCGAACTCGCAGGGCCAAGCGGCTCTCCCAGCCCACAGGCACCAGGAGGGGACTTGCTAGGCCCTCAACCTGAGGACAAACCCCTGGGCCACGCATCTGGACATCCACCTGGGGAAAGAAGATCCATTAGCCCTTCCGAAGTTCAGGGGCCCAGGCAGGGCACAGGGTGAGGTGGGTCTGCAGTGGCAGTAAAAGCCAAGGCCCATACACGCAGCCCTGTAGCCATTGCAGGGAGAGGTTGAGCAACGAAGGAGAGCCCAACAGGCAGGGCCCACCTACCTCCTGGGTGCTATAGATGGTCCTCTCGCCCTCTGGGCAGTGCTCTCCGTACACACAGCGGCTGCTCTGGGGGCACCAGTGGCATCGCCAGAGGCTGCTCACACAAGCACGGCACCTGGAGAGGCAGGGGGCTGCTCAGGCTGGGCACTATCTGGGTAGCCACCCTTACCCGGCAGCCAGGCCTAGCACTCACGGGGCAGCCACCTCCAAGGCATGGACAGCACTGCAGTCATAGAAGGAGAAGTTGGTGACAGCTATGGCCACATCCTCAAACATCAAGGCCAGGGACAAGGTGATGTGGTCTAGGAGGGGATGGTGGTAGCAGAATAGGTCATGTGGCTCTGCCCCTCCAGCTTCTGCCCCGACCACCCAGCCCAGGGACCCCTCACCTGTGCCTGGAGGGTTAAGTGGCAGCTGGTCTTGGGGAGGGGTGACACAGGCCACGTGGGGCCCTTCCACTTGAGCCAAGCTGTCGTAGTCTCCAAAGGCACAATGGAAGTATTCATCCATAGCCAGGGTGGGCAGCCGGGGGACAGACAAGGTGACCTGGGGCATGTGCAAGGAAAACAGAGCAGG